CGCCCCCCCCCCGCGCCCGCCGAGGCCCCGGGGTGCTCCTGGCGCTCGGCCCGGCCCACATCCCGCTCACGGCCCCGGCTCCAGGCAACCCGAACCGCTGCAGGGCAGCCCTTACGGCCCTGAAAGCAGCTTTATCAGAGCTGATGCGTGTGCAGCCTGGCCTCGGGGCTGCGCTGCCGCTCCGACCAGCTCCCACGCTGCTTGCGTGCTGGGGTTTCGAGGCGGTTTGAGTGGGAAAGGAGGCAGCTGCCAGGGCTGGCAAAGGAAACGTGGGTCCCCAGGGTGCTGCAGGAGCAGCGACGCTGCCCGGGTGCTGCAGTGCGGAGGGTGCGCGTACTGGCTTTGGGGTCGCTGCGGGGGTGGACCCGTGCCAGGCAGTGGTCAGCAAGGGGGATCAGGTGGTGTCCAAGGAAAGGTTCCCTCTGTGAGGACGATGGGACTGAAGGTCTCCTCTCCCACCTCCCGGGGCTCTGGGAGAAGCCTCAGAGAAATTTTTTTTTTTGACCTGAAAGCCCCAAAAGACATGGTCAAAGAGCAGCGGATTTCTCACCAACTGGTGAACTGCTGATTTGGAAAATCATAAAGAGATTAGGAGGGATGCTAAGGAAGGGGAGGAGGGTGGATGATGTGCATGGCTGCACATCAGAAGCAGTAAACTCCAGCCCCTTGGGACCCTTCGCAGCCCATAGGCTGTTGGATGCTGTATCTGAGGCTCCTCTGAGACCGAGAGAGTCGCTATCAGACTCTACCCAGACCGGAGGTGGAGCAAGGCAGGAGGCAACAGTTCCAACAGATGGAGGTGGCAGCTCCCCCTTGGTGCTGGCCACGCGAGTGCCTTCTGGAGTGTCTCCACCCCCTCGGACATCCACACCTCACCAGAACTTTGTCTCTAACTTTGTCCCTGGCTGTTGCTTGCAGTTGAAGACGATGAGGAGGGCTGTGAAGTGAATGGCCGGGTCTATCGAGACGGGGAGGTTTTCCAGCCCAGCTGCAAGCTCCAGTGCCGCTGCCAGGATGGAGGCATCACCTGTGTCCCGCTGTGCCAGGAGGACGTCCGCCTGCCCACCCCGGACTGCCCCTACCCGCGTCGTGTGGAGGTCCCAGGGAAGTGCTGCCAGGAGTGGATCTGCGAGACCCGGGAGCGGCCGCTGCTCCAGGATGCCATGGCAGGTACGGGCAGAGGACGCGGCTGGGGGGGCTCCTGGTGGGCTCTGAGTCCAGGATGCCATGGCAGGTACGGGCAGAGGACGCGGCTGGGGGGGCTCCTGGTGGGCTCTGAGTCCAGGATGCCATGGCAGGTAATGGGCAGAGGACACAGCTGGGGAGCTCCTGGTGGGCTCTGGGTACAGCCGCTTCCCTCTGCACCCCAGATCATGTGCATCAATGGGAGATACTGCATTGCACAACCAGTGAGGGCTTCCCACCCACCCTCAGATATTTATGACTTGCTTCCCAAACCTGTACCTGGTTAGGCCTGGAGCACCCATCTTGGGCACACGATGCTGGCCTTCAACCACCCTTTCCTCATCTCTTCCCGTACAGCGCCCAGGGCCCCGGGGCTGGCATCCCCAGCCCTACCCTACCCCTGTGAGGAGTGGGGCACAGAGTGGAGTGCTTGCTCGGCCACCTGTGGCATGGGCTTCTCCACTCGTGTGTCCAACCAGAACCGCTACTGCCGGCTGGAGACGCAGAGACGGCTGTGCATGGTCAGGCCCTGCCAGGCTCCGCCAGGAGCATCCCTTGTGGTGAGTGAGGCCTTTGGTGACTGATGCCTCTGGGCAATGGGTTGGACAGAGAAAGGGAAATTCAGGTCAACACAAGAGCCAAGGGACACCCCCAGGTGCCTGTGGAAACCCCGTCACCCTTGTCCCCTCCCCGGCCACAAGCGAACCACATCTCAGGGTCAAAAAAAACATCTCGTGAAACTGCACTCGGGAAACACACCCCAGCTATTGATGGCAGGTGCAGACCTGAATTTTAGGGTCTCTGGATGTCAGAACCCAAGTGCACCGATGGAAACCGCATGGCCCTGAGCCCCACAGATTGGCTTGACATGCCCCTGCGACGGGATGTGTTTATGGCTCCTGAGTGCACCCAACGGGCAGGGCTTTTCTCCCATTTTAATTAGCCTGGTTCAGACCTAGTGTGAACATGGTGCAAAATTGCCTTGCTCCTGTGCCAAGGGAGCTTTCCTGGGCCAGGAGCTTGCACCACCACATGCCCCTGCTCCCACAGACCCAGGGAGCCACCCAGCCAGCCCTTCCACGGTGCCACAGCTCACAGATGCAGCACTCCCATCTCTGTGCCACCATCTGCTCTGCCTTTCCAGAGGGGAAGACGAGGTCGCTTGTAGCCATGCCCACCCCGTTCGCAGCCTGGAGCCAACGCCTCGTCCCAGCAAAGAGTCTGACGCAAGCCCCTGGCACTGTGGTTTCGGTGGAGATGGAGGACATGTCCCCTGGGAAACTAGGGAAGAACTGATGGACCTTGGCTGCAAAGGAGGGTGGAGAATCAAGACCAAGATCCCCGTTTCATCTGGCACCTGCCCCCTCGTGTGCACCCCAGTTTCCCTAGGCAGGGCTACCGGCCAACGAGCAAAGCATCCCTGAGTCTCTTTGTCTGCGCAGCAGCAGCACACCCATATCGCAGCTCGAGACTGTTACTGTAATACGGCCATTGCAGTGATGCTTTGTGGTTAGGGCAATTCCCAAGGCAAGGCTTTGGGAAAGCCCTTTGGTGAAGAGGACAGGGAGGAAGGAATGGGGAGGTGGCTGGGTCAGCTCTCTCCTGCGGTCATGGCCGTGCCGGGAGGGACTCTCTCGAGTGGCCCGTGCCCTTGGGACCAGCCTGCTGGCTCAAGCATGGACAGGGTGGCCACCTGCACGCACACACATGGCTCCCTCAGGTCCCCCTGGCAGCAGATCCAGCCCCACACTGGGCACCATGCCTCGGTTGCTTCCAGGCCTCTCCGGGGGGACATCGAGTGGGCCAGGGACACATCCTGCCCCATTTTCACCCTCTGGACCGTGACTGCTCCTCCTGAGAGGTGGGACGGCAACCTAGGCTCCCCAGGGGACATGCTGCAGAGGGCTGGGGAAACGGGGAAACCCCTGCCTCCGAGCAGGAACCCACTTGAGAAACCAGGAATTGCTCCTTTGCAGGATGGGGGCTGGGATTGGTGGGGTTTTTGGAGAGGGCCAGGTGATGCTGTTCCTCCGCCGCGTGCCACACGCATGGCTCTGCTCTGTGGCTACGCGGGGGCTAAGAGAGAGATCGCCTCAAGCATCAGGTAGACCAGATCCCTCGCGGGACCCGCTCTGCCCGACCCGCAGGTACGGAGCGGGCAGGACGGGCCTCGCACCACAGGTTATCTCCACTTCAGGTTGCACAGCTCCACAGTTTGCATGCACTCAGTTATCCCACAATATTCGCCCAGCAAACAAACAGCCGCGTTTCTGGGCATTGGCAGAGGCGTCCTCCTCATGGCAGCTCCAATTCACCTTCCCTGCATCTCTCCAGAATAAACACAAACCTTCCTGCTCCGCCTGGGCTCCTTCTTTCCAAAGCGCTGGTGGTTTGGCAGGGCATCGGCAAGCCAGGAACTCAGACGCAGGAGACAACGCTCCGCAGCACCAGACATACCACCTAATATCCAAGCACAAACCCTAAAAGCTAAGGCCAAAACAAAGGCAGTAAAAGAGAAAACAAATTGCAAAGATGAGTCGGGGCCGTCTCCCGACAGCCTGGAGCCACTCCAGCTAGGCAAGATCAGCTAAGGAGAGCTACTCTATAGCTCTGCTTTTATTTTCTCACCACGATAATCCTTCAGGGTTATTCAAAAATGAAGTCTAAATGCCCTCTAATGGCCTCTCCTTAAACGTGCAGAGGCTACACGCCTGCCGTGGCTGGATGAGAAGGACAGCTAGGAGAGAGCAATGTTCTAGGTTGTGCGTCCAGGTGAGAGGTGAACATTTTAGGTTCGTATTCATGGAAAATAAAAATGTGCTCCTCTAGGTGCAGAGCTTGTCTCAGCCTGCCCATGAGGAGGGACCTGCCATCGGGGTCACCGTCAGGAGCCCCGCTGCTGGCAGTGAGCACGGCTGCTGGAAGCAAGGCATAAGCTGGGGGCGAACCGCCTGGACGCCTCTGCCCAGACAGCTTAAAACGGAATAAGAGAAAAACAGAAGGAATTAAAGTTGAAACACTATTAGAGTATATTATTCTGCATAAATTCAACCCCTTTGCTCTTACCTCGCTGTCACCTCCATCAGTTCTTCTGAAGGGACTGATGAGCCGTAACGGGGCATGTTTCCCCACTTGCTGCCGGGAGGACATGGATCGCAGGGCATGGTGTCATGCAGATGCATCCAGGCTCTTCAGCCTCGGATTGAAAATAAAACCAATCTTGGTGATGGAAAGCCATCACCTTCAGCCATGTCTCTTCAGAAAAAAGGGGGAGACTCGCTGCTCATGCAGGAAGGCACTGTTTACAAAGAGAATTATTTACGGTGATGATCTGGTACTCTGCCCATATGCAAATTATTAATTCAGCTCCATATCAAGGACACTGTGAATCTCTGGCAGCCAGCAAACTGCAGAATGAATGTGGCCCAGTCTGCCACTTTCTTCTTTTTTTTTTTAACTTCTGTAATGAAAATTCCAAAAAAACAGTGATGTGAGGCTTACGTTAGACTTTAAAACCACAGTGATCATCTGCTGACATGGATAAGCCGTGTTCTGCATACTGAAAATCCTGTTTTGCAGTCAGTTCTCATTTCAGCATGTTGGGACACAGCCACCAGCACCCGGTGATTTCCTGGTAGGGAGAGCACTACGAGGGCTCTCAGCCCCTTATCAAATGCTGCCCAACCGTCTCTGGATGAGGATAAAAATCAGCAGGTCCCGGTTTTTTAAATGGCAACATGAAATTCTTATCTCAGACAGAAATGTCTTAACGTACCTCTTTGCTATAGTTTCCCTTTTGGCTGGAAGATGTCATCTCTCCCTGATTCATTGAACAGGAAACATCTATATAATAAATTAGTGGTTTCAAATAAATGAGAAATATTTTCTCCTAAGAATATAGGCAAGCCATCTCTGGAGATCTGACTGTGAGTCTCACAATATTTGCTGTTCCCTCTAAAGTCCAGCTTCCCTGGAAATGTGGTTATGTGGGAACCATGTTTAACACAGCATCTGATGCAGCAGGTCCTGGTCTTTGCCTGCTGTTTTGGGGCAGTAGGAGATGTCAAACAAATATACCGTTATGTAGAGGATTATGGTTACCTACAAAGCTTAAAAATCAGAAGACAATTCCTGCCTCCCCCCGGAGCATAGCACCGTATCTGCACACATAATGGCATGTGCGTTTGACAGCTCCGGTCCCCAGCCACCGGTGAGCAATAGGTCACTGCTCGTCTCAGAGCAAGCACACGTAATAGCTGTGCCCTGGCTGCTGCGAAAGGTGAAACCGGGAGCTACTACATGCACAAATCCCATATTTCAGGGTTTTCTTTGTGTCAAGCCATTCTCGTGATTGATGATTTTTAAACCCATGGAGTTGGCCTTGCTGAGAAAGGGCTAGCTGAGCCCCTCATTAAGGTCAAGTATTTGCAGGTACCTCCCTGAGCACTAAAGTGTAGCACTGCATAAAATAAAAGCAGATAAAGACACTCGCTTGGTGTCGGTGAGCAGCCTTGAATTGGTTACCTGAAAATCAGTCACCCAGGGGATGTGTTTGACTCCCGTGCAAACTATCCCGGCACCATGGTCTAGCATGGCCCCAAACTCGCTGGCAGGGGTACTGCTGCTGCACGAGCCAGGAGCCAGGGCAGA